CCGGGGCCCCTTGGGAAGTGGGGTGGGGGGAGCACCTGGACGCCGGGGCCCCTTTTCCCGGACACCTGGGCCCCTTCCCGGACGCCGGGGCCCCTCTCCCGGACACCGGGGCCCTTTAACCCGGACGCCGGGGCCCTCTCCCGGACACCGGGGCCCTTTCCCAGACACCGGGGCCCCTTTTCCCGGACGCCGGGGCCCTCCCGGACACCGGGGCCCCTTTCCCGGACGCCGGGGCCCTCCCGGACGCCGGGGCCCTTCATTGTCCCGCAGCGGCGCCGGGGCTGGAGCGCCGTGTCCGGGGCTGCGGCCGCCTGGGCCCCTGCCCGGGGCTGCTGGCGCTGGACACCGGGAGCAGCCGGCGGCTGCGGAGCTGCTGCCGCCGCCCCCTCTGCAACGGCGGCGGTGAGCCGCAAACTGGGCACACTGGGCGAACTGGGCGAACTGGGATCCACTGGGACCTGCTGAGCACACTGGGCAAACTGGGGCACACTGGGACGCACTGGGACACACTGGGATGCACTGGGACACACTGGGATCCACTGGGATCCACTGGGACCTGCTGGGCACACTGGGCAAACTGGGACGCACTGGGCGAACTGGGACGCACTGGGACACACTGGGACGCACTGGGACACACTGGGCACACTGGGGCACACTGGGGCACACTGGGCAAACTGGGCAAACTGGGACACACTGGGCACACTGGGCAAACGGGCACACTGGGACGCACTGGGACACACTGGGCAAACTGGGGCACACTGGGACACACTGGGATCCACTGGGACACACTGGGATCCACTGGGACCTGCTGGGCACACTGGGACACACTGGGACGCACTGGGATCCACTGGGACGCACTGGGATCCACTGGGACCTGCTGGGCACACTGGGACACACTGGGATGCACTGGGATCCACTGGGACCCGCTGGGCACACTGGGACACACTGGGCACACTGGGACACACTGGGACGCACTGGGACACACTGGGCAAACTGGGGCACACTGGGACACACTGGGCAAACTGGGACACACTGGGACACACTGGGACGCACTGGGATCCACTGGGACCCGCTGGGCACACTGGGACACACTGGGCACACTGGGACACACTGGGCAAACTGGGGCACACTGGGACACACTGG